GACCAAATCATTGTCCTATTCTTTTAGGACTTGCTTAACATGATACTAAAACACAATCCACTTTCAGTTGTTATGATATAAAAGTTCTCTAGCAAAAAGTCTACTTTGATAGTACAAGTAATTGTTGGGAAAGAAGATTCCCTCTCTGAAAGCCACCATGGCTATACTTCAATCTATCCTAGCAAGATGGCCGATATGCAGGACTTTGCTCTGGCCAGCCTGAATTTACATAGATATATGGACATGCCAAAAAGATCTCTTTAAAATTATACAGCCCTTCTAGTTACCTAGTCACTGGAGTAGGTATGATGGTCAAGAAGGACTTGTTTCTCTATGTCACTACCAATGAATGGCCACTTGGAGGTGGTGTGAAGGAATTGTGGCCTTGTGTTTTGAAAGAACCTATTTTCTGCAGTGTATCAAGCTTCATTGTTGATGTATTTTAGACATATTTTAAAAAAGCTACCTTATGTTGGTCTTCCCATGCCTCAGTCAATAACTCCACCAGCAATTCTATTCTAATGAACGTTTTTCATTTCATTTTGTTTCGCTTTGCAATTTTTATATCTTATACATGGCTTAGGGGTTTCCTCTTATGTTTAAGGGCAAATCCAGTCATGTAATTGTAAAAATGATAAAATTGTTATAATCTCCAGCCCTCAACTCCCCCCTCCCCCCAATATTTTAGGGCAGGCAATTCCTTTTGCATCAGCACCTCATAAGTGTATTTGCTTAAATAATGAAGAGCAGACCAGAACAACTTCATAGGTGAAAAGGCCTAACTATGCTGATGCATGCAACATGAAGCACAAATTATAACTATGTTTTTCCAGATGACAGTTTGTTTCTATATTGTGCGCCAATGATCGTAATTGGAGAGAGAGATAGAAGTGAGGAAATTCTTCCTCTGCTGCTTAATAAAGATGCATTCTATTACTTTCTTACTTAGGAATAAGCTTAATGGAATTCACATTGAAATTCACACGTAAGATTGCATTAGGTGAATAATTTAGCTAAACATTTCATACAAAAGCTTGCTCTCGAGAATGGTTTTACTGAGTAGGGGCAATGGGGGTGGAGGGTGGGGGGTGTTTGTGGTTGGAAGGTCAGCCCATTGAGTAATATGTTTCTTACTAAATTTAGAGTTACTGTATATATACACTGGCCTAGGAATATATCCCAGTCCATCTAGTAAGACTCATAAGTAATGTGCTGACAGTTTTTTTTTTCAACTGTTCTTGCGAACTTCTAAGCAAACAAACAAGGGTGAATTGAATAACTGTCCTTATTATCTGCTCCACCCACCACTTAATCAAAATTGATATACGGTCCTTGAAATATTTGTAGAATTGGATGATAAAAGCTACACTTCAAAGTGCAAACTTTAAAGAAATGTAAGAAACCATCATTTGGATGCCTTGTTTGATTAAACCAGTTTGGTGTACTGATTAAAGCAGCTGGATTAGAAACTGGAAGGCTATGAGTTCTACTCCTGATTCAGGCACAACTGGGTGACCTTGTGATATTTTTCCCTCTCAGTCCCCAGGAGGAGGGAGGGGCAAAAGTGTTTTTGAAAATTTTGCCAAGAACAACGGCATGGATTTGTCCAGGCATTTACCAAGAGTCGATAATGACTGGAAGGCAGACAAAAAACATGAAACAAAACGCAGCCCTAATAGATCATCTTATTAGAATCTGAGGGAGACAATCCTGTCCTGGAAGAAAAGACAGGAGCAAAACAATTTTGTTGGGCTATGCAGAGCACCTGGAAACCAACAGGTCCCTTCCGAGGTTGAAATATTGGCAGCTATGAAATCTTATGATATGGAATTGGTCATCTCCATCCCACTAAAATTTCTGATATAGGATTGTCTCCTTATTTGAGCGTTAGGCAGGAATTTGACATAACCAAAATAGCAATACTGTTTTAATGCAGAGTGTTTTGAATTATTTTTAGCTTTCTTCAGCTTTACCGATATAGGAAAAAAGTGGCTATGGTAGTTAGGAAAAAGGATCTATTGGTTTTGGAAAAAATAGGTCTGCTGAATTTAAATATACAATATATACAAATATACAAAAAGTGAACTTTTGCTCAGGTCACAACGGGAGTTGGGATTGTGTCTTCTCGGAATCAAGAACAGAACTCTCTACACACATTAAGCTCACTTATTTTCAAGCAGCACTAAGCCTGTTTACTTCAAGCTAGCCTTTATTAGCCGAAAGAAAATGGATAATACAACTATTATTTTATTATTTGCTTCCTCTTTATAAGCTTGTGACTGAGCAAGGAAAAAACCCGCACAGACACTTGACTCAACTGCTTCCATGTTTCCTTTGGGGCTAACTGGAGTATCTTCTTACTCAGCTTGGATGACTCTGATTTTGAAAGCTGAGCAATCGACAGAGAAAATCAGGGACCAAAATGCTCTTGGAAACTAACAGTGGGTTGTCTGGATCCTGGTAGCCATCATGGGCATGTGGCCAGTGTGTGGATGAATGAAACCCTTCTTCGGAGGCACAAGGGAAGACTGTGGTGCAGTTCTGAGTCCTGGGTCAGCAGAGCTGAACGTTAAACAAAACTTGTTTACAAGAAGTCTCTCTATAATGACCATCTAGGCATACCACCATGCTGGCCCTACCCTTTTCATCATTCTGTTTGAGCTCGGCAGCATTCCCCCTTGCCCCACACAACCAAGCTGGAAAAAATCATTTGAAAAAAAAAACATCAAAACACAATGGGCAAAAAGTCATCTCCATAATGCATACTATATAGGTAGTCCTCAACTTACAACCACAGTTGAACCCAAAATTTATGTTGCTGAGAAATTTGTTGAGTTTTGCTCCATTTTACAACTTTTCTTGCCAGATTTGTTAAGTGAATCACTGCAGTTCTTAAATTAGTAACATAGTTAAGTGAATCTGGTTTCCCGTTTGACTTTGCTTGTCAGAAGGTTACCAAAGGGGATAACATGAGTCTGGGACACTGCAACCATATAAATGTGAGTCAGTTGTCAAGCATCTGAATTTAAATCACGTGACCATGGGGATGCTGCAATGGTCATAAGTGTGAAAATGGTAATAAGTCACTTTTTTCAGGGCCATTGTAACTTTAAACGGTCACTAAATGAACTGTTGTAAGTAAAGGACTATCTGTATAACCTAATCAAACTGATCATTGCTACTGATCATTGTTCAGAACTCCCTGCAAATGTGCACTAGGTTGTAAGCTTCAGTTACAAGTGCACATGAATTGAAATTAGTTAAAAACAAGCCAGTTGGTAAATGCATGCTAATTATATTACTATATTCAAATGCTGCATGAACAAAATAAAACAGAAAAACTAGACACGTTAATTTATTCCCTTACAAATATTTTCCATTTGGCTGTGGAATTTTGTATGCAGTATTAAAACCAACAGCATGCAGGAAAAATTGTAGAGCAGATCATAAAGCGATCAGCATAAGTATCTTGAAAACAATGCAGTTGCTTGCCAGAAGTTAACCCAGATTTATAAAAAGCAACACTTGCCAGATTAGCTTGATCTGTTTTTTCTTAGATAATTTTAAGATCCATTATGCATATTTCAGCATACAATTTCACACAAAAAATACCTTTGATTACAAATTTCCAACTCCTGGTTTATCTTGATTGGGTTTAGAAGCTAAGAAAGGACTTATACTTGGTCAAAAGACCACCAATAAATATAAAGGTTGTCAGCTAGTTAAAAAGCATCCTGAATGAAGGCAATGACAAGTGATGCCCATATTGTTGCAAAAAAAATTCATGATTATTTTCCTCTAGCGGGAGTTGAGAGTGAATCAACGTGACTTTTCTTTAACAGAAACAAATTTTCTTCTTGAGTGTCTTTTAAATTTTATTACATCAAAAGTAAACCATCCTCATTCATTTTTTCTTCTTCTGCTGATGTTCAGTTTTAGAAACTGTCTGGGTAAGTCCCTGCAGTTTTCTTGGCAAGGTTTTTCAGAAGTGATTAACCATTGCCTCCTTCCAAAGGCTGAGAAAAAATGACTGGCCCAAATTATGCAACGTTTATGTCTAAAATAGTTTATGTCTAAAATGGGACTAAATTCAGTCTCATGGTTTCTAGGTCAATGCCTTAACTACTACTGGCACGCATTTATTATCATATCATTATCAAATATTTAAGAAACATTTTGCAAACAAGTTTGTTTTGTTTTAAATAATGTCATAACTTTACAGAAATGAGTTTTTTGTGTAATTTCTTATGTGAAAAGCAGAGATTAATCTTCTTTGATGTTTAATAGGAAACTATCCAACTTTTAAGAGTTCTAAAAATAGCAAGACAAATGTACAATGCTGAATAAAAAACTGAAAAGCTTAACATTTGCCAAGTTTTGAATCCAAATGAGAGAAAAAAAGATACATCATTTAATATATATTTATTATGATATTCTGAAACCTCTTCCACTTCCATATTCTTCTCCCACTTGTACTTGTAATCAAAATAACATTTATTTTCAGAAATATCTGCACAGCGTAAATTTTTTTCACTGGACGGAGAACCTTGAAATCAAAGTCTGCATCAAAATTCTTCTCTAGTACACAAGAAGGGGCAAGTGACTATGGGTCAGTGGTACAATGCATATTCTTTTATTTGAAGATTCCAGGTGTGATTCCCACCAAATAATCCAAGTAAAGAAATCTCAAACATCAGTGCAAGAATGTATTTTTTGTCTGAAATCTCTGAGAACTACGTACTTCAAATGGGAGAGAAACAAGGGAGAGTGAGTACTAAAAGAAAGCCCATTATTTCTCTGAACATGAGTATTCATTTTGCTTGGAGGAATATTGTATGTATCCTCAATGCTTTCAGCAGTTGTATTGGTTCATGGTTAAGATCTGAATGTATATTCTATTCTGCATTTATTTTCCAGGAGGGGGACATGCACACACTGCCATACTAACACTTTTTATAGTAATATCTGTTCCTATAAATTTTTATAATACTGAATCTCACTGATATTTGAATAATTTCATAATACTACGCAAATTGGAGAAATTAACCCATCCACAAATCAGTTCTGCAATCTATTATTCAAACTAAACATCCTGTAATATATCTGCTATCATAAATTCATAATTCATTCTGCTAACCATGTGGAGATAAAACTTCCCAGAATGTCACAGAAACTTACATGTGGCTCATACAATTTTTTTACGTTTCAGCAAACGCTATCACACTCATCTTCACACATACAGAATTAAAAACTTCCATTAAAATGGAATAATTCCCAGTTTAAAATTAAACCATGTCCCGTGTTTATGACTTTTTCTGAACACACTCAAGTTAACTGTATCAATAAAGATTTAAGTTCCACCCTCATTTAAGAATTATGTTCCAGATGACCAAACTGAAACTAATTACAACCTTACTGTCATAAACATGTAAATTTTAATCTCATCCAAGTTTTTATAATTATAACATATTAATTATCCATATATTGCCTGTATAGAAAAGAAATTCAGAATTCTAAGAATGCACAGGGAAAGGGAAAGGGGAAAATGCTATTTGAATTATAATGTTGGCCACAAAGAAATTCAACTTACCAGTTTTTACAAGAGAGAGCAGGACTCCAGACAGTGTCAGTAGGATGAAGTGAAATGTCTTGGTATGGGGCATTGCCTCTCCAAAAAGTGAGATGCTTCTGGGAATGCTCAAACTCTCTAAATTCTTAATTAGGAATCAATTTTCTGAAGCTAAATCAAAACCTTGTCCAGTCAGTTCTCAAATCTCTACATATGTAGAAATAGACATAAGCAGAATGGCAAATACTCTACGTATGCAGTCTGGCTGATTAACTGATTTAAGCCAGAAGGCAGTTCCACCTTCTAACAATTTTGTCTTATTTCTCCACCCCCAAGTTCTACAGTTGGCCCTTGGAAACTCAATCCTGCCCCAACAGAGCAAGGCATACATTAATTGGCAGTTAACTGCAAAACCCCAAAGGCTGCACTAGGCTTCCAATAACTGGACTACATATTTTAAGTTTAGGATAGCAGTGAATAACCCTATTCATTAGACAGTTCTATACTTAAAATAGGCATGTGTTTGCATAGGGTGAGAGTGCAAAACAGAAGGATGCCAATCACATAATGTTTAAAGTAACAGATGTTAGAAGTTTCTGAATTCAACGTTATCTAACAATTCTTGATTGAGTTTAAAATATATCCCAGGTATCAGATCCATGTTTATTAACCATTCTCTGATTTAAATTCTGGACATTTTGCGATTCCTGTTTGCTAAGGGATGACCAAATTTCTTTAACCTGAAAGAATCATATACATGATGAGGGATAGTTGAATTTTCCAGAAATGTTCAATGCCTTGAAAAGCCTGAATCCTTACATTCAAATATATATCAGAAAGTATTTTTAAATAAATTAGAGGTAGAAGTCAAATTTTCATTAGGAAGAAAATCGCTCTAGCATACTTATTTACATGAGCACTTAGAAAATCGGCTAAAATCAGTTAGGCACTTGAAATTATTTGCAGCAATTTTACATTCAAACTGCAATGAATGACTTTTGTTTAGGTCAATTTACTGGGAAAAGTATGCATTGTTCAAATAACTTAGTTTCATCATGGTGTGCTTTTATTTTTGATAGAAGTGTGAAAAAATATTTTAAGGACCCATCCTTGATCTAACTTCAGTTTATAGGATTCAGTTTTGAAAAGTGGATTGTTGTAAATTGTTATACGGAGGCACAATGGCAGTTTTTAAATAAATGTTTCATTTTCTATTTATTCCTATTAAAGACCAATGATTTTGTTTTATAAGAGTTCCATTTGAGTTTTTCTAGGCATTTTACTTATATTATTAAATATATTACAATTAAATTTCTTTCCCTTGCAAATTGTGTATATCAGCCCCAGTTCAATAGCCAAAATACTATACTGAATTACCTTCAAATGAAGTTAAATTAGTTCTTGTTGAATCATAATTTATATCAGTATGCATATAAAAGCTTGGTAATTTTGCAAGGAAAAACTTCACTGTGTTCCTGTAGTCAGTCTGAAATTCAAGGCTAAGATACTTTCTGCCACTTGGGTCACTCAAACTGTTTTGATTCAAATTATTTGCATGTGAAACTGCAACTTTTCCATTTCATATGTAAAACTACTGTTTCAAGCATTTTGGAAGTGCTTTGGATTTGAAACACTTCCAAAATCCTCAAAACAGTCTGTTTTGAACTCACAAAGTTTCAGTCAAAAATTTTCCACATCTCTAACTGCCATATTTGTTCCCCTGGCAAATACTCCCTTTTATTCACACCTGACTTTTGATAACTGGAAAAATGTGAAAAAAATGTTTCTTATTACTTGGCACCACAGAAATAGACAACAGTTGGCCTAGCATAGGCTGCCACTACTGTATGTTCGTTTGGTGAACTGATATTTAAAAAGGTAATATATAAACTCATTTGGTATATTGGCACAAAGTGGCTTATAAAATAAAAAAATCTAAAGAAATAAACAGTAGCAGCAAAAATCATAGCACATCCTACAATACCATCATCTGAACATCTATGATCTGGAGCATTATTCCTTTTTCCAGCAAGATAATACTTCTGAAATGAGTTGCATTAAAACTAGTTAAATGACCCAGCACCATTGAACATTGTAAATTGAAATACTACTTAACAATTGTATCATACTTCCCAGGATTATTATTCTAGAGCAGGGGTCCCCAACCGCCGGTCCGCGGACCGGTACCGGTCCGCGGAACAAGTCTTACCGGGCCGCTGGTTGCTGGGCGCCACCATCTTTTTTTGATAAAAAAGTGCTTCCGGTGAGCTTTTCCTGGTAGAAAGCTCACCGGAAGCACTTTTTCATCAAAAAAAGATGGCGGCGCCCAGTTGATGCCGGTACCGGGCCGCGGCGCCCAGCTGATGCCGGTACCGGGCCGCGGCATAAAAAAGGTTGGGGATCACTGTTCTAGAGGGTTTCAGTTCAAAACTCAGTTTGTACCTGTTAAGGGAAAAAGCCACCTGTGTTAAGATCATTATGTTAAGATAATTAATTGGCATTTGGATAATTGTACCTATCAGTATTAATTCTGCAAAGAATTTACTTTAAACATTAACATCTGTCCAAACTAAAATTCGAAAAGCTTCTAATAAATCACAGCTTATGACAGCCTTATCCATTATAGAACAAAGTTCAAATTGCAAAAATCCATTTTTTAATCAGAATCTTGAGATCACCAACTACAAATAGAAGAAAATAGATAATTATTAAATTATTAATATTGTTTAGTTCTAATCCTACTTATTTTACATCTTTTAAATGTGCTATATTTTTATGACCTACAGTATTTTATGCCTACTTTACTTGCTCAGTGTTGAATGTTTTATGTCTATATCAGGGGTGTCAAACTCGCATTGTCATGACATTGTCACGTGACGTATCGGGACTTTTTCCCCCTTCGCTAAACTGGGCAGAGGCAGGGCCAGCACATGACACATCTGGCCTGTGGGCCATGAGTTTGACACCCCTGGTCTATATGTTTGTAGGTGCTTCTGACATGAATAAAGAAAATTATTTACTGGATTCCATAGGTTCATATAGTGAAATGTTTTGCATAGATAAGTATCAGTCTATTCTGTCTAATTTAAGTCTGAGAACTTTGTCAATAGACTGCAAATCAGTCAGGTTCTATTTAGAGATCTTAATCTGTCATCCGTCTTTCAATAAATTACAAGATTATACAAAATAAAGGCTATTATTATTATTAGTATAGTAGTAGTAGTAGTATTCAAATAAGGCAGTAGTTTCCTGAGCTTCAAATTTTACCCATGCCAATTTTTACTAAAATTAATTCAATTTAGAACTGGCTTCTTACATAGAATTGTTTGTATACACGTTCTTGGATGAGCAAACTGATCTAAGATAAGGACTGCATACCTATTTACATAATTTTTTTACACCTCACTTTTAAAAATTTGAGACTTACACAAAGACAGCAATTCAAAACACTTATTTGGAAGTAAGTCTAATAAAATTTAATAGGACTTACTTTTGAGACGGAGATGCACAGAACTGTCTTATAGGGCTCTATAAAAATATTCAGTTACAGTAATTTAGAGAGTCACATAAAATCACCTTTGTTCCCAAAAGACAGCATGTTTTCCAAGTAGATAAAGAGAGCCATTTTTTATTTAAAACCCCCCACTGTTGATACAGTACTTGCTGTTTTGATTACACTGGGCTTATTAATGTCTCTATTCTAGATGTTTACAACTGTAAAAGGAACTGTACAGACTTGGTCTCTTGCATAAACAAAACAAGAGTGTGAATAAGTGAATGTCTTCAAATGGAAAAAAGTGAAGAGTGAATCTTTGTCAAACATTTGCAGCCTTGATGTTTATTTCCACCTCTAAAATTATCAAGTAGAAAAACCAGCCACATTCCTCTAGGATTACAAAATAAAGCAACTGCTGTCCCTCCAGCTCCTATGTACTTGCTTGTCAATTAAGCAAATGGGTATTTGTAGCACTTCAAGGCTGAGTTTAGCACCACAAAAGATTGCCAAAATTGGCTTTGACAAAAGCAAACAATATGTGCAATAATACAACCAGGTTTTATTTTTTTTAAACTTCTTGTCCCCCCCCCCCCTTACTATGTAGAGGGAATTTAAAGATCTGTTGTAAACATAACTACCTCCTCTCCCTGCTTCATAAGTGTACAAAGTAAAGGAGAGCAGGAGAGCAGATTTGTGACAGGTTTCTCTGTGCTAATAGATGCAAAACTATTTACAAGTCTACAACCATCTCTATACAGTTATTGTACAAATTGGCATTTGAAAGGTGAGGAAGGGAGAGGAAAATCAATTGAAATAAAAATTAAAGTAACTTCAGTTGTTTTCTTCAGGTGATGTCAAAAAAAAAATCTTCACACAGCAACTTCACTGCGCAAATGGGAGATTGGGGTGGGGGATAAGGGTGGAGGTATCTAAGTGCACTGAATTCTGGAATATAACTGAGAGAAGATGGATAGTATAAATATGGGAATCATGAAAGTAATGGCAGAGTGTACTATGTAACAAAAACCAGCACACTGCATTTTATTCATTTGATTTTTTTTTTACAAACGCAGACACTGCCAATGCTCAAATTCCTTGTGTCATTTATTTTTCTTTGAAGACGACATCTCCTGTTCCTTGGCATAATGCTGCTGCAGAACTTACAAAATCCTGAATCACCATCATATGTAACCAGATGAAAATCTGGCTACATTTCATGCTCCAAAGGTAGTGTCAAATCCTCACACAAAGCCAACTGATGAACATACATATGGTAAAGATCCTATGTGTCTCTGAAACGAGACAAATTCACAGCAGAAGGGTCCAAAATAACTGGCCCAATCACAATGGAGGAAAGAGAATTACAGGAGAAATTCAGCCTGAAGTGCCTCCTCCCACAACTTGAGTCCCAATTGTTCAAGAAGGCTGGATGCACCGAAGCCTGAACTCAAGTAGCATTGACACCACCACTTAATGAAAACAGACTTGAGCTTCCCCAAATGCAATGTGCTGAAGATAGGCTGACAGGGATGTGCAATGCCAGACCAATCCAAGCTGAGTGCTGCCCACCACAAAAATTTTCTGCTGTTGGCAGTTTTACAGTTAATTTATGAATGCACCTCCTGAAATGGGAAGGCATGGAAGTCAGTATCTGCATGGCATTTTGGTTCTGAATGACATCTGTTAACCATGAGCTCTCCACCATGATTGCATGGGCTTATTGTTGTGAAAGTAATGACAGAAGGGAAGGAAGCTACCATATGTAGACCTCCAGATGGCTTTCCAAATAGCTTGGGAGAAAAAAAATCACTCACAGTGCTTTGAATTCAACCTCTTGAATAAATCTTCTTTTCTGTCTACCCAGTTCAAAAACCAAAGACCAAAATAAATGAAGGTGGCTGTGCAATCCTGGGCAGAAAGCATTTGTTGAAGCTAGAAACAGCAGCCTGAGATGATTGATTCTGTGATCCATTTGCAAGGCAAAAATGACAGCAGTGAAGAGAAAGGACTCTGTCCGGCAGTGGAGAATGCATGGTTAACAGACACTGGAAAAGCCAGGTGAGTGGTATTTACTCAGTAGTCATCCAAAGTCTCTATTTCTCCCATATTGAGCCGTTCTGATGAAGCATTGACTGAGAAACCTGAAAAAGACAGATCCAAGTTTATCAGTTCACAGATGAATTATATTTCATAGTTGCCAATTTACATGTAATTAGACAGCCATACAAAATTATAGATAATAGTCAAGGAAAAAAATGTTCTAATATAACAGTTCGATACTTTTTAAAAATTGATTCATATAATAAAAGTATTATTGAAGAATTCTCTTGATAATCACATATTTTATTTAAAAAAATGCATACTCACTATACATAAAAATACATAAATACTATCTACTGTTTCTTATGAATCTAACAAATCACCAGAATGGAGTATACGAAGTTCAAATGCAGAGATATGTATATAAAACTTTAGCATCTATTTTCTTGCATACATCTGATTGCCGAAGTAGTAAAATAATTTGTGGAGCAAACTCTGGGGACTAAAAGGGTGTTGACTGATAAATAAAATTGCAATCCCAAGAGGAGAAAAATAGTTATTACCAACTCTTCTATCTTAGTTTCTACGTTCTCTGTGTTCTCTCCATTTATTTAACATATCATATTAAAATTTCTGGTTTATTCAAGAAAAATGAGCAAGAGACAAATGATGTTACCGTATTTATCGGCGTATAACACGCACAGGCGTATAACACGCATCTTCATTTTAAGAGGGAAATTTCACCCCCACTCCCACCCCACGCGCGCGCTTCAATCCACAGTGTCCCATTCTGCCTGCCTGCCTGCCTGCCTTAGTTTCTGGTTGTTTGGGAGCAGCTTCGGCTGAGAATAATAACTATTCGCCTCTTTTACTCAGCCGAAGCTGTTCCGATTCAACCATTAACGAAGGCAGGCAGGCAGGCAGAACGGAGCACTGCGGGCGGGCGGGCGGGCGGACGGGGTGGGGGAGAAAGGCGACAGGAAAAGCCCCCCCCCGCTTCTTTGAAGCAGTTTCTTCCTGTGCTGGTGGAGGAGCGAGAGAGCGACTGAGAGAGCTGACCCAGAGAGAAGGACAGGCTTCGGTTGCTTCCTCCCTCCCCTTCTTTCATTTGTGTCCTTGATCCCCGATCCCAGCAGCATTCACCGAAGGCTTCTTAACATTATATCGGCGTATAACACGCATACATCATTTGCCCCCTATTTTCAGGGGGAAAAAAGTGCGTGTTATACGCCGATAAATACGGTACATTGCAAGAGCCAGTCTTATGTAACAAGCCAGTCTTATGTTTCTTCAGGCTAGAAACTGGGAAATCATGGGTTCTGGTCCTGCCTTAGGCACAACGACACCTGAATAGTTTTAGGCCAGTTGTTCTCCCTCAGCTCTAGGAAGGAGGAAGCAGCAAACTACTTCCAAAAAGCTTTGCCAAGAAAACTGCAGGGATTAGTCTAGGCAGCTGTCAGAAGTTAAGGCTGACTTGAAGGCACACAAATGTTACAAACTAATTCTAATTTGAAGGTTCTAAAACTCACCTAACAAGCTTGGATCTGCACGGACCATTTTTTGTTTCTTCTTCTTTTTGCCACTCTGCACTGCTTCAAAACTGGACTGCTGATTGTTGCTCTGATTAGTCTGAAAGACTGTATGCAAAGAACAATGGTTCATCCCCCATACAGAATCCTGGAAATAAAGGGCATATTTTAAGGTACAATTAAGTTTTGTGCACTTGCTTAAGAAGCATTCCCCCTATTGTGGGAATGTATCAGAAGATATATTCATTCTTATACTGTTACCTGATATTTTCCATATGACCATGGTTTATTCCATTTACTTTTTATCTACATACAGTTTTAAGAAAAGCTTCAAGATGAATAGTTTCTATATTAATACATCCATACTCAAACATGCTCTCCTTTTTAGGAACAATTCCACATCTATCTGATGCATTTTTCCTCTGCCCGAATAATATCTACTTCTGACTTGGAAATATTTCCCCAAAACAGAAATATGAACCTGCTGCTGCCGTTGTTGGTTGGCTTTTTGTTTGGCACGGCGCTCAAGAAACTGCTTGGCAAATTCCTTGGCTTCAGGGGTGTCCCCAAGATAAGCTCTGATGTAATCGTGAACCTCATAAGGAGATTCCACTTCTTTCAGGAAAGAAACAAATGTGGGAACTAGAACAAGAAGAGAGATTCAATTGTGAGAACTCTGTAAAGAATGTTAAGTAATGCAATGCAATGGACAAGAGCTTTCCAGTATCAACTATTTGATAAATTTATTTAAAAACTTTATGTAAAACAAAATTATTTCTGCTTGAAATAAAATTTAAAAACAAAAACAAAAGATGTTTCCTATCGTCACTGAATTACTTGCTAATGAAAACAAACAGGCTACTCCTACTTAGTTTAATTTTTCAGCAACACAGTAAGTCCCGATGCTAAGATCTACGATTCAAAAATATAAGTGATATCATGCAGCACAATTTATATACCCACTCCTCAAGAATACTGGGCAATGAGTATTAGATCTTCTATAATTTTCTCATATTTATTTATATTACAAAACAGTATCATTAGAATGCAACTATGATACAATTTATTGTAATATGTGATAGCATGCATGGTATATATTGTAAGATGCTTGTACCTTTTATTACTGCTTACCATCCAAGTTGTTAGCTGTGTTGAGTGCATGAAGCATTTGTTCACACCACTGAGTGAATCCATCCTGAGGTTTATTAACTCCCTGAAACAATTTCAATAACTTTTCTTCTTCTTCTACCTTCTTATTATGTCTGCTTGTAACACCTACAGATTTACTGGAACAAAGAAAAACATGATCACTGCAGAGTATGAGGAAGAGATGTAGACTGCCAGGAATAGTATAGGAAGTATGGAAGTCTAGAAACCAGAAAACTCCAGCAATCTGTCAATTATATTAAAAATCATAGGGGTGTACAATGAAGTATAATCTTAATAGATGTAGCCAGCTGGACTCACTATCCATTTGCTCCTATTCATACTTACTTAGCTTCATACTGGGCTGGACTATCCTTCCCCACCTGTTCACTGACTACCTTCCATCTTTCTATCCTGAAAAACATGTGTCACAGGGAGGTGGTCACGGCAGACATCTTGCCCTGTGGGCATTATTCTAATATTTCTGGACCTAACATATATGCTAGAGTAGGTTGTAAGCTGTCCAAAGTTCAGTATTAAGATGGATGGCTATACAATGTTGCAAGCAGGCAGGCAGGCAGGCAGCGCCATGTTAGAAACCAGGAAAATGTGAATTTTAGTCCCATCTTAGTCATGAAGGCCTTGAGGAAGGCATTGGACCAGTACTCTCTCTTAGCCCAAATCACTTGACAGAGTTGGTTGTCGGGGGGAAATATGAGGATGGAGTATAAGGAATGTTTTCTGCCTTGGAGTTATTTATAAACATAGTACAGGTAGAATAAATAAATCATTTTTTAAAAGCCAAGCTTGGCTTTTGGAAATGCATATATCACTCCAGTTCTTCTTAAGACAAAGCTGGATAGCCCACTGCATGTAATAGCTTTTTACCCTGCCTAATACTTTTACCAGTTACTTATACCAGCTAACCTAAAGTATGATGAAATAAGCAATCCTGGTTGTGCTGTGGTTTGATAGAAAACTTTCATCCACTGAACCGTTTATAAGAAATGCACAGGCTTTGGCATTGTCTAATAGAAGAAAGAAAAATTCAACCATACACATTCTTACCTGATGCTAGCATTGTTCTTGTTTTTATTAGTTGCATTACGAGGGCCCACTTCTTTGATTGCATCATCCCAGAATCCCATGTTTGAATTTTTTGTATCAGCATTACTCCAAATACTACTGACAAGGTCTGACGCCCACTGGTTGCTAGGATTTGTGCTTAGAGAGCCCCATACTGAACTGCCAATGCTGGTATGCCGATTTGAATGTTGCTGGGAAACAAAAAGGATGAAGTATTTAAATCTGCCTTGGTTTAAATGAGAAATTAGAAGCATAAAAATGTAGGAGCCACTCACTGTAGCGCTGCGGGTTCTGCTCTGCTGCTGCTGTTGCTGCTGCTGCTGCTGTTGCTGCTGCTGTTGTTGCTGCTTCTGCATCTGCCTTGCCTCTTCCTGCTGTATCTCCAAGAGAGATTTTGTAGTGCCAGCAGACTTGGCAACATTTCCCCAACCAGACAGTTTCTGTTGTTGCTGCTGCTGCTGCTGCTGGAGAGCTTTCATTAGTTCACGCTGCTGACGCCTTTGCTAGAAAATAGTAAGTGCAAAACTTGATTGCAAAACATCACAGGAGTGCCCTCTAGTAGCCACCACTCATATTAGCAAGCAACAGTGCAGTTTTCAGAAGCAGAAAATAGGTAGAATCCTGTAATGTCTTTCCCAATGCACATCCTAAGCTTAAGGAAGCAAATTCAAAAGTTCTTGCTCAGCAGCTACCCAAAACTATTTATTGTTTTGAAACTGTAACATTTACCTCTTCTCGAAGTTGTTTCTCTCTCTCTTCTTCAAGCTTTTGGATTTCTGCTAATGATAATGTTGCCTGTGACTGACAAACTCTTGAACTGGATTGCTGACCCCATGTTGAAGAAGAAGGGAGCTAAGAACAAATGTACACAGAAAACACCAGTTAGATTCTCCTAATGGAGACAAGAAATACATCAAAAATGAGATGAATAAAGAAAGGGTAACAACAAGACTACAGGTATTAACAACCACAATTCGATTATTGCTTTCTTTTACTGTAGAATTGCAATCTTTTTCTGTATGACACCCAAGCTTGTAGCTCAATATAAATTTCATATTACCGACAAAGAGAAATCGTTTCTACAGCAGTAAGGTTCAGACTAAAGGTTGAGGCAGAGAACTGTGAAAAATAAATGGATGTTACTGAGCTTAAATATCCCATGTAAAATAAGGGAAACAGCTAAAACAGTTGAAATTCAGTAATTCAGAAGAGGAAACCCGAAAAGATGCATTAACAAAAGTAAGACCATACAAGTATTCATGAGCCTTTGGGCAAACTTTTTATCTAGAATGATTAAATGTGAAGTGGTTTGCCATAACAGGGCAGCATTGAAAAACGGGGGCGGGGGGGGGGAGGGGGAGAACCAGTATAGTATAATGTATAAAAATACAAGATTGCTTATTATACACAAATTATGTACACCCAGTTATTGAGTAGCCATCCAAAGTTACAGTGGCGCTAAATGAAGGGACTGATGACTGGTCCGCAATTACAGCTGTTGCAGTGCCTCACGATCACTATCACATGATCAAAATTAAGGCAATCAGCAGCCTGCACACACTTCCAACCACAGGGATACACCCCCGACACACCTACCCATCCCCAGCATTTATATCCTTTTGACCCGCTGCACTGTGGTCCCTGCCCTGACCCTTCACAAGGCATCTGCTGGCTGCACGAGATTTTCTTCCCCAGGTTGTGCACAGTGGCTTCCTCCTGAGACCTAGGGTAGATCAACTCAACATGGTCAGCAGCTGCTTTGGGAAGGGGCAGGATGGATGCAAACCTCATCAGCTGCAGGACCAAACATTGAAGGTCCAGGGTGACAAAGACAACGATGGCTGGGACTGGGGCACTTCCTGGGATGCTGAGACTTTGGGCATACTGTTGTTAGAGCTTCTTGGGGTGAGACAGTTTTGCACTGCTGAGTAGGGGCTGCTGAGACTTCCAGGTGCAAGACAGGGTGCAGAGCAGCCAAAAGGGCAGAGATGGGGGGAGGGGAATAAGCAGTTGGGAGAATTGAAGGGGAAGCAACAGAAGAATCAAGGCTTGCAAGCTGGGAGGGATCAAACCTGGAATGGTTGGATTGGAATTAGTTTGACAGCAGCGATGGGAGTGCCAGGATTGCTGTTGCTAAGCGATGTAGTCAGGTGACATTGCATGTTATGATTGCATTGCTTAGCAATGGAAATTCTGGACCCAACTGTGGTCATAAGTCATGGAATACTTGTCTTTGTTTTGCTGGAGTTATAGATTTCTTCACCGATCAAGGGTAGTTTAGATTCAGAAAAGAATTACAATCTGTCTTTAAAACAATCACATTCTCATCTTTTGTGTGAACTATTCAGTTTCAGCTTCTTGTAGAAAAATATGGTGGTATTAAAACCCAATGTTGTGACTTCTAGAAATATTTAACAAGTAGTCTTTGCTTAATGACCCAAATAGGGGCCAAGCGAAGTGGTTATTAGGTGAAACATGTGGCCACACTGCTTGGCAATAGCAGCTCCAGGTGTTCCCAGTTCTGGTTATTAGACAAGGACCATACTGTTGTTAGACAAGGAACTCACATTTCTCTTAGCCTGCACAAATTACCAGTTCTGTCCTGCTGCCATCTCCTCATCCAGCCCTGGTGAACTCCCTTTGGCAGATGAGGTTCTTCTGTCCTGCCAAGCTTGCCTCTTATTCAGTTCTCCCCATCTGCCTTTCTCCCCTGCCTTTCTAACCTTTTGGCTGCTCTCACTCCCCTTCCCACCCACAGTTGACCTTCTGTGTCTTCTTCCTCCTGTTGCTACCGCAGGACACGTTGCTGAGGGCCTCAGCTGACAGTGTCTTGTGAACAGCAGGAGGAGGAAGACAGCAAAGGCCAGCTGGGGATGGCGGCTGAATGCAGGGTGAGATGCAGGGCAAAGGGCCACGAGCTGATCAGCTGGGTGCACTCTGTCAGTAGCAGGAAGAAGAAGATGGCAAATGTTAGTTGGAGCAGCAGAGGGCAAGGCAGCTGGAATGGCAAAGAAGGCGGGAGAGAGATAAACAGGTAGGGGGAGCTAAAGCACATGCTGTGGTTGTAAGTGCAGGTGAACTGCCAAATGTCTGAATTTTGATCAATTGATCGTGGGGCTGTGGCCATAGCTATAACTTCAAAAGCGCCATTGTAACTAAGGTCACTAAAGGAATGGTCATTAAACCAGGACTACCTGTTTTCTCTCATAGTTCTAGATTTAGAACTAACACATGCTACTTGATAAATTTAAAAGTTTTTGTTTAGGGAATAAAGAAATAATACTATTGGCTTCCTTTGGGGCTCAAAAGAAGGCTTATTCTCTGTCTACCCAAAACACAGAACAGCAAACAGGCTGCTCATGTAAATAAGAGATATACGTATTTTTTTCTAAAATTAAAAACAGCAACCATTGTACAGATTTTGCAGAACTAACAGGATGAATCTCTAGTCTCGTTATGAGCGTTAATTCATATTCATTTTATAACGACAGTCATTATTCATTTGAAAACAATACAAAAGTTACACTGAGAAATATTGGTACCTTCATCTGCGCGAGTTGCTGCTGTTGTTGCTGCTGCTGCAATCGACGCAAAGCTTCCTGTTGCTGCTGCCTCAGCCTCATAATTTCCTTCTGGCGTTGGAGTTCCAGCTCTTTCCGCTTCCGTTCTTCCTCTTCTTGCCGCTGCTGAGCTGCTTCTTCTTCCATGCGCAGTCGGTTTTCTTCTACCTGACGCTTGGCCTCTTCTTCACGTGCCCATTTGGCAGCCTCCTCTTCCTTTCCAGTTCAGGGAAAAAGCAAATCCTTATAGTTCTAGATTAAAATGTTTACTTTCAAAGTATTTCAAATTATACAGACACGTAGGTATCCTCTGGTTTAAATAATGCAACTTGTTCCAAAACGTAACTATTGCTCCAAACATAAGTATAGAACTAATTTCAAATAATTCAACTCAACAATCCTCAAAAATGCATTATACCCTTGTGTAGTTATATATTATATAACCCCCAACTGGGTGACTTGAATGCAAAAACAGACAAAACTTCTAAGAAAAACCCAGATAAACAAAAAGTAAACATGATAGTACATGTAACAGGGAGAAAAGAAACACCTGAACTAAACAAAAACCGCACACCAAAGAGGAATACCCTGATATCGCAGTGTTGAGAAAACAGATTTTCAAAGTTCATTTCAAAGTTTGTCCAATCGGAGCAGTCTCATCATTTATCAATTCTGAATTGCTAAAAATCTTATGTTTCATCAATGACCATCCCTTTTCTGTTTCATCTAGAATGGCTTATTAAAAATACAATCACTGGGGAGGAAATATGCAAGTATCTATTGCTATGAAGGCAACAGAGTTTATCAGGAATACTCATTCTGAACAGATCAGCATCTTTCTTTTCACCTGTTTGCGAAGCAACTCTTCTCGCTGTCGTCTTTCCTCTTCTTCTCTTCTCCTTTCTTCCAACCTTCTAAGTGCTTCTTCCTGTTGTTGCCGTTCCTCTTCTTCTCGTTGCCTCCTTAGTGCAATTTCTTGTTCCCGTTGTCGCCTGAGAGCTTCCTCCTTCCACAAAAAGAAAGGTTAGACTGAACCATTAGTATCTAGTAAGACTGTATAGCCATGTCTCCTTATTTGTAACACAGCCTTAAGACTAAAATTCTAAGACATCCTCCTAATCTAGTTGCTCATAGTCAAATCTGAAGTGAGAAATCTCGACTACTAAAAAGCTGGTAGCATCCTGAAAGTTTGTGTTGTTATACATCTTTTATTGATTGGATAAAGATTGGGATTGGACTGATGCAGTACAGCTAAGTATGTTATTCTCAGCACTGATGCTGATTAAAGCTTTCCTTTGAGGGCTAATAGCAACTTCGAATAACTATAAACATATGGGGAAGAAAATTATCCTTCTCCTTTTGTTATCAGTTCCGTCTTCTTCTTTAAAACCATTTAAATTTAATAACAAAGAACCACCAACAGTGACAGGGCAAGCCACTAGTATATAAAAATAAAAACAAACCCTACTCCCATCTAGCACTGATAATGTTACCTAGTTTGGTAATGAAACGTTTGCAAGAAAACCACCCAGCTCAAAGAGCACCAAGGACCCCACAAATTTATTTAGCTTCATTTCTATTTTAGTCCTTAAAGATTATCTGTGCATTCTACATTTAAAGTTTTACAAACAACATGAACAGGCTGAATATTGTAAAATTACTATTCCAAAATTATTTTTTCTTGTAAGTTATATTTTTAATACATAACCCTGGCACTATCTGCTCACCCTGATGCCTCATTCCCTAGAGTGTGGCACAGATTCTTCTGATTATCTTCTTGCTGTTCATGTCATTTTTTAAATTAAGTTAGCAAATTTTATTGGTATTGACTGAAATCTCTGCCTTTTGGAAATAGAAAACCTTGTAACTATTAAGTAACTATTACATACATGGTACAAATAAATAGACTGCAAGATTTTTTCAGGAGATTATATTTTAGTTTTTAATTATATCCTTTAAAAATACAAACAGAAGATAATTGGAATGTTGGTTAAATTGATTGCTTTTCAATATTTTGATTTTTTTCATTTAATAAACAATTCTCTTATTTTGAGACTATAGCAATAGCATTTAGATTTATATACCGCCCCCATGGTGCTTTACAGCATTCTCTGCGTGGTTTATAAGGTCAGCATTCTTTGCATATTGCTCCCAACAAACTGGGGACCTCATTTTATCAACTTTGGAAGGTTGAGTCAACCTTGAGCCCTGTCAGGATTAAATTCCAGTCTGTGGGCAGAGTTCTTCTGCAATACTACACTTACCCACTGCACCACTATGAAACTTGTTATTATTTATTTGATTTCTATAGACACCCATCTCAACAAATGACTCTGAGTGGCATAACACTAAAACAATTAAAACAATACAAATAAATATATATGGCTGCTGATTAAAGTCACCACCATAGATGTATGGATGTTAATATGGTCAAGAAATGAGGCATATCCTTAATACATGTCTGGCTCCATGCCTGGGCACGTAACTAGGTCATCCCGGCCTTATGAAAAGCCAGATTCAGGATCATCCTAACTCTGAAGACAGAATGTTCCAGAGGGCAGGGGCTATACAGAGAAGGCACACCTGCTGGTCCCTGCAAGCCAATCCTGTCTACTTTATCAAAAGTCACTTATCTCAGGTAAATCTACAAAATCATGCTTCGGGCACCTCAATCAGTCTTGCCCATTCTGGTTCAATTCTGAGTGGATATAAATATCTTTATCTGACAGACAGTTACAATATTCTTCAGAGTGGCCCTGAAGATGTTCCAATGGATTTACTGATATAAGTTAGAAAAGTGTAAAAGTAAAATTAAATTCTAACATGTTTCTTTCTACACATTGCACAATACTGGAAAAAATGGCATCTTTGTTTAATATGGCAATAATAATTATTGAACATATTTGAATTGTCACCTGCTTCCTCCGAGCTAACTCCTCTTCGTCTCTTCTTTTTCTTTCTTCTTCTTGTCTCCTAATTAGTTCTTCCTGTTGCCTCCGAAGCTCCTCCTGCCTCTTACGCTCGTCTTCTTCTCTTTTGGCCCTTAATTCAGCTTCCCTCCGTTCCTGCTCTAGCTAAAATTTAACAGCAATACTCGAAATATGACAATAGAATTGTCTCTATAAGTAATTGCATGATTCTTGCTAGTATATGATTTTGCCTTAGCATCCTTCCCTACAAGTATAGTAGTGAATGTCTTCCTAGTATTTTGTTTTTATAATGTGCTAAAAATCTCTTTTCCAGTATTAACTATTCTTTATTTAATGTCCAACCAAGAAAACAAATGGATCATTGAACAAATCAACCCAGAGTTCTCACTCAAGGCACAAATGACCAGGTTCAAATTATCCTACTTTGAACACATAATGTGAAGATCTAGTTCTCCCATCAAGGCTCTGATTCTGGGAAAGGTGGAAAGAAAGACAACTAGAGCAAGGTGGATATGGTAATCAATGCAGCACTGAAACAGCTGAAGGACCAAGTTAGCACAGATTGTCATGGTGAAAATCTATCTATGTGATCACTAAGAGCCAACACCAATTTGATAGCACATAGTTAATCACCTAATTGTTAAATGTTGCACTCTAAGTATGGCATATAGCATCTGCCACATCACAGTACACTGCTATAAAAAGATAAATTAGAGGTTGACGTAAAAACAATTTCATGCCATATAGCAAAATATACACTGCTCCTTACCTTTGCAACTTTGGCCTTTTCAAGCTGCTGTAACTGTTCTAAAGCTGGTCCCTGAGCTGCAGTATCGATTGGGAGATCCCAGACACTACTTCCTTCCCAGACTTCAAAGCAAACAGAGAAAAAATAGAGACTGTAGATGTGTAATGTATATAACTCAAATATATAAAATAACAAATAAATTGGAAATAAGACTAAATTAGTACTGGTAGTAGTATATTCTCTAGTCAATTACTTGAAATTTTTAAGTACCGTGTTTCTCATATAATAAGGCCGGGTCTTATTTTTTTTTGAGCCCTGAAAAAATGGCTAGGCTGTCTTTTTGGGGGGTGACTTAATTCCCCCCCTTGCATCTTCGGGCGGGCGGCGATGGCTTGGATGTTGACCTCGGCGTTGGTGGGGCACTTCATATCGGAGTCAACGCAGGCAGCACCATATCTGGGTGTGCAACAAAAGTACTTCCTAATGGCAAGCCCCCCCACCATTCCCCCCATTTTGCATGTTTTAATATAGGCCTTAATTTGGGGGGCGGGGCTTAATTTCATTTCATGCCTATAAAACATGCTGGGACTTCCTATTGGGGGAGGCCATATTGTTGGAGAAACAGGGTAATTACAGTACATAATTTTTTTTAAATTCTTATATTGGAAACCTTTTTTGTTCCTAAGGATTGGGTTCCTAATTAGTCTAAAGATATGGGACATAAAATCCAGCTGGATTTATCAAGGAAAAAATGTAGAAAGGGTTTATTGTTGAGCAGAATGCTAAGACAATGGTAGAAATAAATCAGGGACAATAAAAATGCTGAAGAAATCAAATCAAAATAAGTATTTAGAAAGCATTTTATATTAAAAGAGACATATTAAAGGCAATAAGCGGGACAATATATTCAGTAACATTCATTTCCTTATTTTAAACTACTGTATTTAAGGTCCTATTTATATAAATCTAAGACAGCAATATATTAACTAGGTAACTTCTAAGAGCACAGAATACCTCAGTAACAATTATAGTTTATTATATCCAAATCGCACAAAACATTTTTTCATAACTGCTTAGAATTATGGTTGCAGATCTTGGCTTGCTATGAATGTCAAACCACAGCTTCGGAACTTATGTTACTTGCAATTTCACTAAAATTTTGGTTTTATAAATAACTTTAATATTCAATCTAAATTCAGCCAATATAAACATATTCAAAAACTGTTTCCTACCAGTAGTTTGCGGAGCAGTTGACTGAAGTTCCCAAATTGAACTAGTGTCTGACATTGACCTTGTTACAGGTGGCACCATGTTCTGTTCAACTTTTCTATAACATAAAGACTGAGAGTAAACACACTCTCTCAAGACAAAAGTTATCTTGTTTTAATAATTTGTTTTCTTTTCTTCCAGAAAGCCAGTTTTAAGGTAATATTGTACTTCTCTGTATTTTCCAGACTTGAGCAAAATCTAGAAGTTTCATAAGAACTTTGAATACTATCAGCTGGAAATTAAGTACAAAGTCTGCATTATTGAAATTAAATATATTGCAGGAAGATACAAATTAATAAATACGATATAAATCAGGTGTGTCAAACTCAAGGCCTGTGGGCTGGATCTGACCCACAGGTTGCTTAGATCTGGCCTGCTGATCACCTGGAAACAGTGAAGGACTAGCCTACGGTGCCTCTGTCAGCGAAAATGGAGCTCGGCAGGCTGTGCACACCCTTCCTCCAGCTCCATTTTCGCTGGCAGAAGGCCATTGCAGGTGACAAATGGACATCGAGCTGGCCACCCCCACCCCCGGCCCGTGATTAAACACAACCCTGATGCGGCCCTCAATGAAATCGAGTTTGACACCTGTTGATATAAATTGTCCTCCTAATCCCAGATTTCTAGTCAGGCAGTCCTCAACTTACAACCTGACACTTAGTAGAAGTCAAAAAGACACTGAAAATGGGACTTACAACAGTTTTGTGATTACAATTCATGGGTTTACTTTTGGTTTCCGGCAAAAACTGCCCCACAGTGAACAATAAATTTGCTTAACAGCAGTATTTGCTTTAAGAACCAGCATAAAAAAGTTTATAAAGTCAGATCCAATCATATGGTGATCTGCTTTATAACCGTCATAGCTGCAATTACAGGTTCAATTATAGGAATAACTTGAGGACTACCTACAAGATTTTTTTTACCTCCCATTCCATTTGAGGAAGCTGAAGAATCTTGAAAATACATGTTACCCTGTTATTTGGTTCTGCAGAGGCTTCAGTAGAATGAGGACATGATATTCAGAAAGATCCTTTACCAGCTCACATGCTGATCCAAAGCCCCCTGAACACCATAATATGAACTCTTGAGAGAAAAGGAATCCCAGGAAATTCTACCCATCCCATTCAGTTGACAAAATTCTCTGCTAGATCAATATGCATTCCTTCAATACTATGATAAATTGGTAACATACAAAGTAAATAAAGTAAAGCACAAATGAGACAGATGGTTGAATGCAAATAAAAAGATGTATTTGTGGAGAAAACACATCAGTGGCCTTGGAACCTGCATATTTACCTCATTTTAAGTGCCTGGAATTGTTGCAAAAGGAGAGCCAGCTGCTGTTGCTGCTGAGATGAGACAGCTGCTTTTTGCTGTTGTGCCATCACCTGTGCATATTGTTGTCTTCAAAAGGAAATGCAAAATAGTCATTCTGACTTACAAAATGATTTTTTTTACTTTAAAATCCTTCATATATAACACATGCACATGTAATCTGATTCTGGAAACACACAATGGTGTGACTGTGTGGATACATAAGCTGCAGAAGCTAGTACCTCTACATCTCCCCTTTGCTGCCCTTAGAGAATTAAGAAAACCCCAATATATGCTCCGGAGTATTGGGATGGAAGTCAGGTTAACTGGTACCTTAAAACAAAGATTACTACATTAATGAAAAGACTAATATCAGAACACAGAACTATATTGGAGTCCTGAAATATTCTGAAGTTTCCTTTTATTTGTCATGTTTATTATCATCTTTATATTTCATTTTATGAAAAGATATACTTAAAAGAAGAAAATTTTAAAATTATTACAAAAGATCAAGAAGACTCTCCCCCATGTTAGTTATCTATTTTTTTTAAAAAAACTTGTATTATGTATAATATATTGCACTGTATTCTTCAGTATAAACTTTTTTTAAAAATAAGGTGTATGTTATACAAATAGTGATCCCCAATTTTAATAAGAGCAAAATGTGTACTTTGAAAAAGAGTAACAATAAATAAGCTTACAAAAAATTACAAATTGATGTGGATGAATAGATACAAAACTGACTGTTCCAGAATAATTAATAGATATGACTCCAGACTACTAAAAAAGGACATCAAAGAAACATAGAAAACTGATGGCAGTAAAAGACTTAGTGGCCTTTGAGTTTGTTTTTTGTTTTCTTTTGAATTAATTAATTATTTCTTCTTAATTATTATTTTTATATTTTATTTATTTTTATTTCATTTTTTATTTTAAATTTTTGTTGGATGATGTGTGTATCCCAAACACATTTAAACTCATTTACTGATGATTTACTCACTACCTCCACTAGAAATTAGTTCCAAACTTCCTTTCTGTGAAGTAATATTTTCTAACATCACTTTTGAACTTCCCTCCTGTCAGTTTGAGATTATGCCCTCATGTTCTTAATTGTTGCTTAATATTGAAAACACTGCCTTCTAGAACCTTATTTGCACCTTTAATATATTTAAAGTTTCAATTATGTCACCCCTTTCCTTCTGTCCTCCAGGCTGTACGTACTCAGTTCCTAGTGCCCTCCTGATATTTTGTTCCTCAGATCTTGCACCATTTTTATTGTCCATCTCTGGACTCAATCAGTCTTATCAATATTTTTGTTTAAGTAAGGTCTACAGAACTGCTATAGTATTCCAAATGGGCTTTGCCTAAATCCCTACATAGAATTAGAAACCTTTTCCTTCTCGTGATAGATGCAACCCAGAATTTTACTTGCCCATACATGGCCACACTGTTTGCTCCTTTTGCAATCATCTGCTATGAGCACACCTAAATCCTTTCCTTCCATTGCTCTGTCTAATACTGTACCCCCAATACTGTACCCTACCAGAGGATTCTTTTTTGCTAAGCACATGTTCTTACATTTTTAAACAGTGAACTGCAGTTTCTACATTTTTGACCAATTTTCCAACAATCATTTTCTGTGTTACAAATACCCCCAGGAACATCAAATCTACTACACACCTTTGAGTCATCAGCAAACAAAAAACCAAAAAAGCCATAGACTTACTGTAACAAAAATTGCTGGTACTGGAGATGCTGCATTTGATACATGGCTGTAAATTCCTGTTGTCTAGTTAGACGATCTTGATCCAACTCACCCTGTGGGTGTAAACAAATCAGTTACCAGTGTGTACCACTTGTTTGATTATAAAGTAGTCTTCACTTAATGACCTATCATTCAGTGACCATTCAAAGTTGCAACAATTCTGAATGGATAGTATATTTGATTGGTCCCTAAAATTATGGCCTTTGCAGCATCTGGTCTGCAGAGGCACTTCAATTATCTTCCCACACTTATCTCTCCCCGCACTTTTAGCCTCCCTGCGGAATGGCAATTCTCAGTGGCAGAAGCATCAACACTTAAATGGAGGCCTGGGATCCTTCAGTGGTGGTTGGCCTCCACTGATCTATCTATTTCAGCACCACTGCCACCAAAGAGTGCTGCCTCCAACTCCGCACCATGGCCGCCCATCCCAGTGCCACAATGTAAAGTCTCACCTGCCGTCACTGCCCTGTGCCCCACTGACTCTCCTACTGCTGATGATGTGTGCCTAGCCTGGACCTATGCAAAGCAGCTGCCAACCATGTAAGGTTTTTTTCCCCCCAAGGCCATTTACACCATTATTACAATGCTTCAGAAAGACTTTAGAAAGTTTGAGGTTTTCAGAAGCACTGTGAGAAAGCTGCATCCACTGTTCTTGCAATGCTTCAGAAAGTCTTCAGAAAGCTTCTGAAACATCACAAAAATGCTGCAAGAGAATTGAGAAGGTCTCGCACAGTCAGCAGCTGCCTTGCATAGGGCCAGACCAGCCACACCTTGTCAGTAGGAGGAATATGCCCAAGGTCAGCTGACTCGGCAGGGCCTGAAAAGCACAGGGCAGTGGGGTGCCTGGGATGTTGCACTGTGTGCTGCAGTGGCTGCCATGGCATGGAGATTGAGATGGTACTCCTCAGCAATGGCAGGGGAACTGGTGCTGAAGTCGAAGCCCACTGGGTGGGCAGCTAAGACTTCTATTTGAGCCCCAACCCCACTATTGCCAAGTACCACCACTGTTCATGGCAGCCAAAAGGGTGGAGATGCGGGGGGGAGGGGAGGGGAGAAATAGTCAGATTAGAAAAATTCAAGAGGAGGTGGTCCCTTGCCTTACAGGCACTAAGGTAGCAATAGGAATTCTGATCTCAATTACTGTTGTGACCTGAGAACTATCTGTATTAAGTATTTCGTGGAGAATAAAGGCTCAGATAAAGACATTCACAAATAAACAAAACAAGAGTTCTATAATGGCAACTAAAATTCTGCAAGTAGAGCTAAATTATGCACTGTATAAATTAAGCAATTTAAATAAATATGCAAATATTTGCTATTGTATCTGATTTAGATTAATGCAGTGCTTTTTAATTGGACTTAATCTTGAACAGCATTCTCTAAAATCTGGTGGCCAAGTTGTTCACTAATTCACACTTTACTGGAAATATTATGCTTTATAAAGAGCTGCTAATTTGTTTTTGGGCACAAGCCCCATTTCTCAAATATTTGCTCATTTTAAAACATCTGCTTCAGGAGGACTTTTTGAACATATAAAGTAAGGTTACAGTGGGAGGAATAGAAGAAAGATATTTTCTGTTGTGGCACAACTGTTGAACTTTTCCATTAATAGCATGGATCTACTTTATTTTCAAACAAATTGTTAAAGCAGTTTGGTTCTATGTTATTATGAGATGTATAGGATTGCTTTATTAAATAATTTCTCTTTTTAAAAATATTGCTGCATGTGAGAAAACATCATTTTATATGTAAGTTTACTTAGAAATACTTTTTGAATCCATAGCCAATTCAGCAATATTTCTTTTTTTTTAAAAAAAATAAATTTTATTAAATTTAAAATTAAAAACATATCAACATTACATACACAAAGAAAGAAAGAAAAAAAAAACACTCGGCCTTACGAACCGGAAAGAGAAGAGGAGATTTAAAAGAAAGGAAGAAGCAAAGAAAGAGAAAAAGAAATGAAAAGAATACTTTAAAAACAGCCAATATCCTTTTTGACATTCTACAAGATCCAATTCTCCTAATTTAATTTGAATACGCACATCTTATCGATATCTATGCTTAAATTACCCATTGTCTTTTAAGCAGTTTATCTCTGGATTAACCAATTATACCAAGAGTTCCAATTATCATAAAATGTTGAAGGCTCTTTATTTTTAAGTGCTATAGTTAATTTGTCCATTTCTGCACAATCACATATTTTCTGGATAACCATTTGTTCTGTAGGTGTATAAGATGATTTCCAACACTGAGCGAATGCTAATCTGGCCGCAGTTAAAATATGAATTGTTACATATTTCATCTTTTTGGGTAAATGTTTGTCAGAGATCCCTAATAGGAAGAACTCTGGTTTGTATTCGATTTGTTCTTTGGTTATCTCCTCCAACCATTTTCTGATTTTTTGCCAATATTTCTGGGTTTCCTTGCAGGACCACCACATGTGAAAAAAGGTTCCTTCTATGCTTTTACATTTCCAGCATTTTGGACTCGTGTTAGGGTTCATAAGTATTACATTATCAGAATGGGAAAAGATTTGGAACAGAAATATCAAGATTACAAAATCGGCAGTGTATAAAGAAAATACATGCCAATTCAGCAATACTTCTATAAACACAGGAATATAAAATAAATATAAAATTAGTTTATTCAATGAAAAGTAGAAGAAAATGTAAATTATACTATAGTATTGCCAAGACAACTAAACTGATATAAGTCACATAGTCATCAGGATTGATCAGATGAAGTGACACATCTAAGACCAGATAGGCTTCATTTGCCAAAATTATCCATATAACCCCTTCCTGCAAATTTGATGATGGCCATTATAGCTTATAAAGCTAGAAACACTATAGAAAGCTCAATGACCTAAGTGTTCTATTTCCAGCACAGGCATCTGAATCACATGAGATCTAATACCAACTGTAATGATTCTGTGTATCTTATGAATTCCTATATGGTTAAAATGAGTCATATGTTGCCTCATGCTTTTCAGGTTAACGTGTAAATCCATAAGGACATATACTGAATAGTCTCCCCTTGATAGTGTGTTAACAATCTCTAGTATGAGAGCGTGCTATAAGGGATCAGTCCAGTTTGAGTGCCCAAATAAGAATGGTACACATCATTCATTGATATCCAAGGTAAAGTAATACCTGAAGCAATTTTACTTAAAAACTTACTGAATGACAGTTTTGAAAATAAGTGAAAAAGAAAGCTGGCTCTGCCTTAATGGTAAGCATTATGCATACAACTCTCTTGCTTCACACAAGGCAAATTTTTGCGCCTCTCTCTTAAAAATAAACATGGAAAATTGAGGCAGTCTTCCTAAAGTTCACTACAGTACAAAAGCATATAAATAAATTCCTACAATTGTCTTGTCTTGTCTAATTGTTTTAATTCAGTTTATGAATTTACCATATGTAGAGGTGATGCTGGCCCTGGAGTGAAAGGGACCCTGCCCCATATTTTCATGATGTCTCCAAGGGGCTGGAAGCTGTCATCACATGCTCTTTTCACCAATAATGACATTGTGAAATATCCAGCTTGGAACCACTCTGTCATCTCCTGATTACTGAATGGACCTGCAAAATTACCCAATGTATATACAAAGTTGAAATCCACAGAAATAAGTGAGAAAACATACAATCTCAACATTGTATGAACAATCACAGATGCATGTAAATTTATTAAGGATCATTTTTAATATTTTACCTATTTATTTATTGGGTGCCCTTGAGTCAGTTTTGACTCCTTTAAAAAAAAACAATTTTATTTGGGTTTTCACAAAACAAAAGAAAAATAAAACATCTTTTGTTATTGAACAGCATGGTTCTAGGTCTTCACATCTCCATACAGATACAATCTCAGTTACATATTCATCTTTCATCTTCAATTTCATATCTTATCACTACTTTATGTATTTTTTATTAATTTTGCCCTCAAATACTTCCCTCAGGCTTTTATAGCTTTCTCATTCATTTCTAAATCTATTACACATCCTTTTCAAAATTTTCATATCTTCATAATAATTATACTTATACTTTTATCTGTCCTGTTTACAATTTCATTACATATCCATATTTCAAACATTACAAAACAAGGTTTCCCCTATAGTTGCCATTTAGAATGTGTCACCTTTATATCTTATAGTTAGTTCCCTTCTCATTAAACATTCTACTTTTAAATCATCCCATTAAACCAGGGGTCCCCAACCACCGGTCCACGGACCGGTCCCGGTCCGCGGAACAACTTCTACCGGGCCGCTGGCTTGCTGGGCACCGCCATCTTTTTTTGATGAAAAAGTGCTTCCGGTGAGCTTTTCCGGGTAGAAAGCTCACCGGAAGCACTTTTTCATCAAAAAAAGATGGCGGCGCCCAGCTGATGCCGGTACCGGGCCGCGGCGTAAAAAAGGTTGGGGATCACTGCATTAAACTATTATAACATTCATAGCTATATAACATAAATCCCTTTATAATCAGATACCGCATGGTACTTCTCCTTTAAATTACCTCTAAACAATTTTAAATTTCAATGAAAAAAAAATCAATTCAAATTCATCCTAGAAACTGGTTTTAATCTCCTTACAGTCCTTCTAGTATACATTAATATATTCAATTATGTTTTATATATTTTCATATTTTATTTCATCTAACTGCTATCAGACATTCCATTGAATAATACAGGTTTCATCTTCAATTTTAATTGCATATATTTTCCTGTTTTCTACATAATTTATTATTTCTAATATAGTCATACAATCCCTTGTAATCCATGCAGAATCCTCTATCTTAACTATATTTTCAGCTATTGTCTCTATGTCTATCAAACAATTTCCTTTAATTCTTTTTCGTTTCCCATATTTCTTTATTTCCTGATTTTGTTTCTTGTAACTTTTCTCCTTTATTTTTCCACTTTTTCTCACTCCAATTTTTGTCCCCCTCCCTCTCTTTAATGCTTCCTTCTGTAATCCTCCCTTCTGCTCTTTCCTTGTATTTGGTTTATTTTTCACACTGTTCCTTTTCCTAATTACCTCCTCTAATCTCCAATTTTTAAGTCCCTTTTTCCCCTTTCAATTTCAAACCTCATTGTCCCAATTTTTTGTTAATGATGGCCTCTCCTTTATTCAAGTCTTCTTCCTCTGAAACTTTTTGCTGATCCTCATACTCCAAAACCGCCATTTCCAGAGATTGCAGAACAAAGCCAAACGATTCTCCTTTCTCTTGCAGCTGTTCCTTCATGTTTTTTAAATTCCATTTTCAGTTCCAGATCAAGTTCTGCCATCTTTCCACACTTCCCAGTACTTTTAGACAACCAAATTCTATAAAATTCTTTGTTACTAAATTCCAAGCTCCACTTTTACTTTCTGGGGGCTCTATTTTGATTGTAGCAAAGTTTCATTGACTTCGTTATTCTTTAAAAATCTTTTAAGAGTTTACATTAGTTTCTTTTAACATCAGGTGGCACTCTTTGATATGTCCAAGTTCCACCTTCTTTTTCCTTCCTCCACTTTTTCTCCTTTTCTGGCTTTTAAGTTTCAAAAACTCCTTATTTTCCCTTTGACACTTTCAATTTCAGCTTGAAATTTGCCTATTTGGTGTCAAGATCGTTTTCACTAATTTCTTCTTCTAACTTTTCTCTTGAAGTTCAAAGCCACTTCCAGCTGTCAAATCTTTTTTCCCCCTCTTCTTTACCGCCGCTTTAAAACTCTTTTTCAAAACTTCTTAACTATTTTAATTCCAGGGTACCTTGTATTCAGATGTTAATTCAGCTTAGCCCGGTCACCCAAGCTGTCCTCTTCTTCTCCGCTCCTGCACAATCTTGTCCAGTCAGATCTTCCTCTTTGGGGTGGCCATTTTGACCACTGCTGAAACTGTCTTTGGAGAGTTTTATGTCTAGCTAAGAAGGGAAGATACGGCTCCCCTCAACCCAGCTGGCAACCTCCCCCTTCTTCGCCACCTCTATGGGGTGGCTTTGGCACCAAATCAAGTAGATAGGGGCCCTCCAGGAGCAAGCACAAACCAAAACTGTGGATGATCGCGGATTTCGGTCCGTTGCCGAGGGAGCCTAACCAGAAGTTTGAGACAGTTTTGACTTCTGACAACTCTCTGAACTACAAGTAATCCTTGACTTACAAATAGTTATTTAGTGACCATTCAAAAGCCTGACAGGTCTACCTGAGTGGGATGGGATGAGGTGAGATACTTGTGACCTAGATTCAAAGTCTTCATGGTCACATATTCCATGGTTATGTGACTGCACTTCAGATATTTGGCCATTTACATAACTACATTTTGTGACAGTTTTGCCAAAAACTGGCATTTATTTCCTGTTTTCAGCAAAACTGTGCTCTTAGCAAACTATTAGTTCACGGTAACTGTAGTGTTGCTTAACAGCCACCACAAAAAAAGGCATAAAATCATGTCATGTAAGTGATCTGCTTTATGACTATAACGAATTATGATTATGATGGGCAATCTTCATTCTGGTTGTAACTCAAGGACTACCTGTAGCCTCTGCAGTTTTCTTGGCAAGGTTTTTCAGAATTGGTTTGCTATTGCCTACGTCCTACAACTGAGAAAGAACTACTGGCCTATTGCAGCTCTAGAATATATGTATACATATTCATATCTTGACTTTTCTTCAAGAAGCTAAGTAATATACATACCTCATTTTTATGTTCACAATGTTGTGAACCAGATTATCAAAACGCATGACTAATTCAATGTCATCTCCTATGCAGTATTGACTGAATGGAATTTTAAACCAGATTCTCCACAGACCTGTTCTGACATTCGAATCACTACAACTACATTGGCTTTTAGAAATTGCTAGACATGCCACATTTGCTGTCATGTTTAACAGTTATAGCCAATAATCTTCCCAATGGAAATTCTGTTTGTCCGTCTGTCCAACTATCCATCCTATATGTGATTTCTCTTGTTTCTAATGAAATGAAACAAAAAAACCCAACCAAACCAAACCAAAAAAACCCAACCCAACCCAACCTAAAACACTTACCCTGAATTTCTCCTTGAGGATCTTTGTAGAACCATTTTTGCATGGATTCATGGTGTAGTGGTATTGAAGTACCCTTTCCCCTCTGCTCTTGAAGTTTGGCTGCTAATCTTTCATCGTCCAAGGCACTATCTTGCAAATATGCCACCATTTTTTCTGCTTGCTATAATTAACAGAATTATGCTATGAAGAATACAGCTGGTAAGCAATCACTAAAATATAGTGAAGAAACCTTTGTAATTAATATGGTTGGAGGTAGAAAAGAAAAAAAAGCTATCCTAAAGACTGGTCTTATATTGCACATAATTATATATAAGTTAGGATGCTCAATGAAAACTGGTCACATAATCAATGAAATCAACAAATGAGTCTCTGCATTAAAAGGCAGTTTGAAAGAATGTTGATTTCTGAACACTGTTTTAGCAGACAAAAATAATTGTGCTTTAGAACTTGAATGTGAATTACTTATTAAATTAAATTTACTGTAAATCACAAATCAGTGAAAAGAACTTTGAGATTACTAACATCAAGAGGGACAGTCAGTTACATGAATTCACATTTGGTCATACAAAGGTTCTCTTTACAACCAAGTAATTTACAACCAGTCTTCAGGGTGGTTTCTATGGGTCCCAAATATGACTTAAAGTAAGCGAAGAAAGGCCTACTGAACCTTCATCCACCCAATATCAGAAATTGGATTAAGGAAAGGTGGATTCAAAGCTACTACAAATGTAAATTTCTATGAGAGAAGATAAAAGGCTTGATAGCCATTATTTTGACATCAGTGTGGGGTAAACTACAGAAATCAGGATCTAGAAAAAATATTGTTGGGAAAAGGAAGACCAAGTCTTCATGATTCATTACATCTGTAGATTTTTTTTAAAGGAATGCCTTCCACTGGAGCATAAAATAAAGAAATGCTGAAAGGTATCACTTTGAAAGTTCAAATGTAAGAGGAATATCAAAGTGTATAAACCTGTTAGTGAAGAGACAATGTTTAATATGATCTCCAAACAAACTCTGTTTAGTTACATAAGAAGTTCTTGTGGAAGACTTCCAAGAAAAAAGAGATAACAACACATTTATCTGAGGCAGAAGGGAAGATTGAGGTGCTGGGGCTAGACTGAATGGCAAAATGCAAATCTACTGTGTGGTATCATCTACTAATAAAGCAGAGGAGGGTATAATACAGCACTATAGGATTATGAAAGTAGAAAATTATAGATCAATGAATGAAAACTCTTTATCCTCGAGCAAAACGCTTCCAGGAAGTAATTAAAATATAGATGAAGAATCACTATAGATCTGAAGTCCCTTTCCTTTTTGTCAGAGTGGTGAGATCACTCCATTTTATGTAGCACAAGTGTAGATACTTTTAAAAGTCTATTAAAATGGCATCAGTCACAATTGTTATAAATATCAAAATCACATTGAGCGTAGGAAAACCTCCCTTTTTCAAACTCTGCTACTTTCTCATATCACCTAATTAATGAAAGTAGGATAATGGTTTAATACTTTATTTATTCTATAAATATTTTAGTTCTATATCAAGACTTCATTGTATAATATTTCATTTTTGCTTTGCCTCTCTGAAATCTATACTTGTTTTATATGCTAAGTGCTGGCATTTCATTATTCTTCTATCAGAGGGCCTGGATTGGGTATGGAAGCCAGAGGGAAGTGGGAAACAAGACAGTATTGTAGCCTTCCCATCTTCCCTTGTGCTGCACCACCTACAGGTTTCTGGGAAGACTAATTGAAAGGTGCACTTGCATTGAAACAGCCACAACTTCCCCAAATTTCATTGCCATGGAGATCATTCTATAAGTTAGCTCATTTGAGTTACTATGGTTCAATAATTGTTGTTACACCTTCCATTTTTCACCCAACCGAACGTTACAAACAGATATGAAAGTTTTAGGTTTTTTGATAGATGTACAAAGGAAATAAAAATTATTTTTTAAAAATAATAATTTACAGATGTTTTTACCTGTTCTAAATGTTTGAGGCCTTCTTCATCATCAGGGTCAGTAAGAGCATTTCCCATACCAGGAGCAGCCATAACTGATGTTTGAACACACCTTAAGGCTGAATTTGGACTAGAATCTGAAGGAGGGATACTAGAAACTGCTTCGGAAGGAATTTGTGGCAAAGACTGGATAGCAGAAGGAGAGTCTAGAAGGAGGAAAACAAAAAATACAAAATTATTTTGTGTAGTATTACATAGTTCATCAGAAATTACATTCTCTTTTCTATCATCTTTACATCTGCTCCCCATATATACAATTTATTTTTAAAGAAAGTAACAGAAAAAAATATTTTGGAGCTTCCTACACATAACATGATCTAGCTAGCTTTCATGATATTAACTGAATAACATATTCATACTCCAATTACAGAATTAAAAAATATAAAATAAATATATTATACTACTGATAGCCCATAAAAATCTGCAGGCCAAATCTGACTTATCATTTAAAACCAGGCTCTTAACCCTGGGCTTTGGTGATGGAGAGTGAGACGCCTTGCTTCATTGTACTTACCATTTTTTTATTTTTATCTTTTAATGATTTTAATTTCTTTGATTGCTATGAACTGTCCAGAGCCACTGAGATTTGGATGATATATACATTTAATATACTATGGTTGATTGCACAGCCAGGCAAGTGTTCAGACTGGCTTTAGCATTTTTGTCCACATGTCAGGTGCTTCACAAGGACTTGGGTTAATTGTTATTATTATTCCTAGACTCACCATCTACCTAAGTCCTTGTTTAAAAAATACTCTCTCTTTCTATGGCTGGCTTTGGAGGACAGGGCAATCTTCTCAAGGCATAAAGCTATCACCAAATACACTGCATTAACCAGCCTATTTTTATTTTAAAGATATATATAGTCAGCATCTCAAATTTTGTAACCTTTTTGCAGCACATGTTATCTATGAAATATACTAAAAATCACATTAAGTTTTCAAAAGCCCATCCAAGAGTGAAATGCTGCTTTATATCAATATTTGAGTAAACGGCTACAATGAAGCAGTTAATGCTGTTGGTAATCACTCAAAAGTGCTTAAACCATCTTTTTATTCTTTCTGAACCATTTTTCAGATGGTTCCAATTTCAATGGTATTTAAGTTTCTCATATCTTCCACACTTATTTTGATTACCTTCTCTGTTGAGCACTTTGGATAGTGGAATATTCTCCATTTGGCTTTCTTCAAATTCTGATTTTTCTGTTGCTACTGGAATACAGTCTTCCTTCCTTTCAATGAGGCTTGATTGTGACTGTGATTTTGGTGAGGTACCTGACCTGGTGGATAATGAAGATTCTTTTCCTGTTTCTTCTGTTTCTTCTGAAAGGAAATAAATAAACCTAGGTAACTGATTTGACTGTTTGAAACAACAGGTGAAGCATAAGTCCAATAAATGCCTCTTACCTGCTATTATTCGCTCTGTCTTAATTCCTTCTTTCAAAAGGGTCTTATCTAATTCTTTGGCTTCTTCATTATGACTTTCTTCTGAATCTGACTGATCTTCTTTTTCCTCTATAGGATGGAAATCCATTTCCTGTTCCTCAGGAATTGGTTCCTTTTGAACTTTCTAAGGATGATATATACATCGAAATTTATTCTATCAGCTACACATAATTCACGTCATGTATCAAATCAATAAAAAGTTCCTTACCTTTAAGGACAGGAATGCCCCAGATGAGTCAAAAGTCCCCATTTCCTCCTCAGCATCTTCTAAGCACCATTCAGGAAGGTTATCCCTATCATCGTCCATACTGCCACTGCCACATCGTACTCTTCGGTAACCCCTTTCATCATCTCGGTCTCGAAAATCAAATTCAAATCTTCGCCGTCGTTCCATGTGCTCTCTCCAGCCTGCAGAACGAGGGCCGTCTAAGGGGGGCGGGAAAGTAACTTTACAAAAGAGTTCCATAGGGCAAGAACTTATTTGGAAGGAGAAAGGGATAGAGGAAAAGAGTACAGGGAAAAGAGAGGACAAAGTGACAGAACTTCAGAACGCCACTACAGTCTATGGTCCATGTTGACAGAGGCAGTTTATAAATGATCACTGTACCTTTCCAGAAAATGCTACCCCAAAATAGTACTGTTTAAAACCATAATAATATAAGTACAGGTGATCCTTGTATGATCCCCACTTGTTCAATGAACATTCAAGCTTACAATAGCACTGAATGGGTGATAGTTATGACAGGTCATCAGAGTTCTGGCCATTGTAATGTCCCCCTAGTTCATGCATTCCTGATCTAGGAGCTTAGTGCACAGTTCACAACTGCAACATTGCAGAATCCAATAATCATGTGATTGTATTTTGCAACCTTCCCTGCTGCTTCTCATAAGCAAAGTCAGTGGAGAAGCAGGTGGTCACAGGAGTTTCTCGCTAAACAACCTGTGCAATTCTTGCTTAATGACAGCAACTGCAACTGCTGGAATTGCCATTACTAAATAATGACATCACTTACTCATCACTCAGTTAATGTCCCAGTAGTTTTATTTAATCCACAGAATTGTTAAACTGCATTATATCTTCAGTCATAACAATCAGCGTCTGCTAATAGAATAATTTCACTAAACTATGACATTTAATACCTTTCATTTTAGTTGGATTATCAGAAAACGTTTATACTTTCCTTTGAGATCTGACACATACATTCTATCATTTCACAGAAGGAGAAATTATACTCCTTTTGTATCTACTCTCTACTCCAAGGAGACAGTCTCTTCTTTCTCTCTACTACCTAGTATTCCTCTTTTTTTCAGGAGTTTGAAATATGGTGTTTAATCTGTGGCTTCTGGTTCTATTATACAGTCCCTCCTTGCTTTGGGATGAGGTGCCAGCAATAATATTCTGTGAAAATATATGCAGTTGATATTTTATTCCAAGCTTTTGCTTTGAAGATGACTATGCAACTGTAACTTGCATAAGAATGAGTAGGCAGAGGGTTGTAAATTATATTATTGTATATTCTAGGAAAGAGGTAACATTTTTGGGAAAGTCAATATCGCTGATCCTATAGTTTTATAAAAATAATTTTAATATAATTCTTATCAAAATCTTTAAACAAGAAACTATAGGAAGAAAAAATGAAGAAACTATACAAAGAAAAAAGAAAATGAAACAAATCAAAGAAGAAACACGTGGAAGGAAAAAAAAAGTTGAAGAAAAATAAAAATGAAAGTAGCTTCTGACATTCCTCACAGCAGTACAACTGTACCTAGGCCTGGGGCTCAGAATGTGTTAAGGTCCCAATATTTGGCCTTAGTATTAGTTGATTGATCATTGCGGGTGCTGTTTGTACTTATTTTTGTGGATGTTGTTATTGTTTTAATGTTTTTAAAAATGGTTTTAACTCTTTTATAATTTTAGAATGTAAGCCACCCAAAATCACTTGGTTGAGATGGGCAGTTATAAAAATTGAATCAATAAAATAATTAAATGAATTTGGTCTGTCTAAAATTACTCAGATTGCTCTTCTTTCTATAATGTACCTTGTCTAATAATCTTTTTTTTTTCATTTTTATACAAAAAGTCCATAACAGATTTCCAGTCATCAATAAGTATAGAGAATGTCTTTTTTCTAATCATTTTAGAGTTTTGAATATTCAATGTGTCTGAACATTAGCCACAGGCTTTGGTAACTCAGTTTGTGGTTCTCAAAAGTGGTAGGTTACAATTAGTCATCCTGATAGTAGGATCTTTTGAGTTACTTTAGTTAAAAATTATTTATTCTTGTTGACTAAGTGCAAGGCATGATTAAATAAGCTGATAAAGATCACATAGTTGAATGTATATTAAATTACTTATGCTTGAAGTGATCAATGATTATATTACTTGTAGTGAGTACAATCTGCATTTTGTAAGAACTTATTCTTTTACAGCTTAAAATTTGTTTTCTTTCTACTGTGTCTTATGAAGTGGCTGCATAGCTAAGGATCAAGGAGCTTAGACAATATATATATTCAATTCTGTGAATATATAACTTAAACTCAGATAAAATTTATCTTGTACGATCTGTACTGGAATAATTAAATTACAATTAATATAGGTAAAGGTATAGCTACAGGAGACATATCAAAGGTTTCCTAGACCGAACATCTGGAATTTATTTTAGCCTGAGTTTTAATATTTGAGGTAGAGGAGCTTGAAATAAAAATAAATAAATAAATAAAAAATATTTCAATACCATATAAGATATCTAACAGCCAAACTGATATAACAATCAATATTTAGAATATTAACTAGTAGAAATCAAGGTTGTGCTTTGCATCAATCACTATCTGTCTAATGCTCCTCACATGTTGTGCCTTAGCACTCCATTAGGAGAATAAAAACGCTACGAAAATCCTCTTTTTACTACTACTTTTCAATCACACAGCAGAGAAAGAGAAACAAAAGTTTTATAGCTGAGGGCACAGAAAGCTCAAGTTTGAATATGCCACTTTATATAATCCCTGTTAAATAAGAAATACAAATTATACAGTAAATATATAAATATATATTACATAAATATAACAGAAAATAAGCTTTTTGTGCACCTCATAGGCATGGAACTTATTAAAGACGAAGACTCTACCTTAGTCATACATAGCTAATTCTGACCTGTGGAATAGCTTTTGTCACCTCCACCTACCTCAGATATATATTTTTCTGGGAACAAATGAATCTGCAAGCCAAGAAAGGCACGTCTTCCTCAAACATCTTTACAGTCAATGTGCCCATGCTAGATGAAAGTACCTTTCCTCTTTCAGATCAGAATAGCTCTATATCTCCAATGTAAATCAATAACATTATTAATAGAGCTAATAGTACTGTACAACAGCTTTAGAGAAGTTGGAGAGATTTTGCCATCTTCCCCTACTATATTGGGTGTCTCAGGGTTTGATGCGGTCTTATTTCCTATTTAATGTCTACATGAGGCTGCTGGGGGAGCTCATCTGTCATCATAGTGAAATACTATCAGTACGCTGATGATGCCCAATTTTATATCTCTGCCATTGATGAATGAAGTGATTGTCAGAAACACCTTATTCTGATACTTGGAAGCTGTAAGGGTCTGAAAGGGAACAAAGGCTTCAGCTTAAATTTGGCAAGACTGGGCAAGTTTTGGAGCCTGCCAGTTCTAGATATACAGTATTGGTGTTGGATAGGGTAGGACTGCACTGACTGACCTATGCAATCTAGCATTCATGACTTCTGCTTGAGGAGCAAGTGGCAGTCCTGGTTAGAAGGACCTTTGAACAGCTTCAGGTTGTGCTCCAGTTGCACCCATTCCAGGGTCTGGAGGCTCTGTTCACAGTTACCTCCTAGTTGGACTACTTAATATGCTCTACATAGAGCTGACCTTGAAGAATATCTGGAAGCTTCAGCTGGTGCAGCAACATGGGTAATTAAGTGCGCTTCTATAACAACACACGCATTGCAAGCTGCATTGGTTATCGGTCTATTTCTGGGTCCAATTCAAAGTATTGGTTTTGTCCTACATGGCATGGGACAAGGTTATTTGAGAACTCATCTCTCCCTGATTATATCTACCTGTCCTATCAGGTCCAGCAGGTATACTATAGGTCCCATTGGCTAGGGAATTTCATTTCAATCTGTTTTAAATTTCCGGAGATCCTTCAAACCCTAGTTCTGTTAGCAGGCCTGGTGACCCAGGGACTGGTAAAATATTGAGATGGCTCCTGTGTAATTAATACCTGCCAATCTCTTTTATTCTGTTTAATTTTTCACTTTTTAAAGTTTTTAATATTACTTTTTTAACTTTATTATATACCATCTTGTGTCACTTAATTTATCAGATGGGCAGCTATATAAATATGACAAATAAGTTAGCAACATTAATATTTCATAAGGAAATATATTCAGTTCAAGACCATTATCAGCAAAGTATGCTAAAATGTTTTATACCTGAAAGGATAATAGGAAGAATATTGTTAATATTCTCTATAATGGAGTATTTTGTGTACATGTATCCGCTTCTTTTCAACTAGCAGAATTCCTCCCCCCCCCCCCCCCGGTTTTTTAACCTTGGGATGTATCATTGATATTTAGGTTTTACTTCTTAATAAAAGAGATTCATTGTTTGTCTTTATGTTAAACAAGAGGATGCTAATGAATTACTCAAGTCCTAAGCAAAACCTTCACATCTGATCATCATGAGGTACTGATTCAGCTTTTTAAAATTCTATTTAAGCTAAGCAAGACTATTGTGTTATTATGTATTTACTGTTCATATTTGATGTCAGGAAGAACCCAATGAATTATTCTCTTATCACAAGTATTTCTTTCCATACCAATCCAAAAGCTAACTGAAAATACTTCTATCTCAGGAGCTAAGGTAAAACAAATGGATTTGAGAACACCTGGAAGAAAATGAAATGTAAAGCTAAGAAAGCTGTCATTGTCTAGTAATTTGTAAGTATTATTTGCAAAACATGCTTTAATCCTCCACAAGACAGTCATATTTTTTAATTCTCTTTTTCTCTTGGTTCATTTCTAAATTGTGTACTGACTTATTAGCCTGAATTGCCTCACCTGGACTATGAGGTCGCCACCTCTCACCGTCCCTTCGTGAACCAGCAAGTCGCCAACCTCCATCATCATCTTCACCATTTTGTTCTTCTCTGAATATGCGCCAATTTTCACTTTCAGAGCGTATAAATTCATGTTTCCTTCCTACTGTTGAAGTTCCAACTTCTTCAAAATTCGGTCTCACTAAAAATATAAAAACCTATTTTGTGATAAGTATGTATATCATGCAAGAAATTTGGTATATAAACCAGAAGTGTACAATTATCACAACATCTTTGGCTAAAAGAATAAAAGATCAAATGCATGTGTCCTCGTGTTTGTTTTAAAATTCAATTACTTTATGTTAAGGACATTTTCATTTTTCATAGGGGAAAACAGGCTGTGTTTTCAACAGGTTTCATAAAGCTGTTGTCGCACAGCTGCAACCCCTTAAGAGTGTCAAACGTTCACTGCAACAAGTCTATCGAAGAGCATCTGCAAAGTTTTTTTCCATAAACAAATGCCACCTGATGTTCACTGAGATTGCTTTATCATAGTTGAGAAGTATCAAGATACTATTCCTGGTCACACTGAAGTTTACAATGGCACAAAGATTCTGTTGTGTTTCGTATGGGAGGTGTTTTTAAGAGCTGCATCTAGTTTCTGTTTAAAATACCTATATAATGTTATTCAGCACACTAAGTCAAATCTAGAAACAGCATTTGTATAACGGTGTATCGGAGGCTGCTACAAGAATTACTATATAACTTTTATCGTTCTATATAAAATTCTGCATTTCAAATAATATAGTAGCTTAAGAATAAAGAGGTGTTTTATATGGTTTGGGTATAGTTTATTTATAGATAGCTTTGTAGGGCATTGAAATAGTCATGATGGAAATTTGTTTGCATCACAGTAGGAATCCATTGGAGAGTTGCATATTATGCTCCAATGAATGCTGCTTTATACTTATTATTTATCATATGGTATATTGTACATGCACTTGCAATATATGAAGAGTATAATCTCTAAACATAAAGAATGCCACAGATGTATACCATTGGAAAATATGAAAAAGGATACTTGATGAAATGAGGAAGCAAAAGAGATGAGAAAAATATGTATGAGAGAATGATTGCTGCAAATAATAATGAAAAAGATGTGCAATGTCAGATAGTTGAAGTCAAGAAGGCCATGAGATGGTTAAGAGGAGTGAAGAAAATGCAGAGGGATTTTGATAGAAATAAAATTGACTGGAAAATAGGTGAAAAGGACCAAACAAGAAAACCCTGGAGTGAATTGAATTAAAAATAAAAGTGATGAAATGATTTGGTTTGAAGCCAAAGAGGGAATGTTGGAATAAACATTTTAGAAACTTATATCAGAGGTATCTTGTAGAATTGAGTTGAAATGAAATGAACACTAGAAAAGTTAATGTTGAAAAAAAATGGATGAACAAAAAGCCTTAAATGTTCTGAGCATGTTGAAAAATAGTACGATTACATTTGCAGATGGCATTACTAGAAAGACATGTTAAAATATGGATGTAGTTTGCTTGAGAACTAGTTAAGTGATTTGCTCAACATATCTGAGAAGGTTGCAGCTCTGCCTCATGACCAGAAGAATATTATTCTTTGAGTAGAATAGGAGTATAAGAAACGACATTGGCAGAAATCTGATTAAAGGAATACAAAATGTGATAATGAGCAAAATTTGAGAAGAGCAATGCAATTTTTTGCTAAGCAGATGGTACACAGAACTTTTTTCTCCTCTACAGCAGGTCACTGAAAAATGAATGCATGATTTTTTTTGTTGATTTAAAGAAAGCATATGAAAAAGTAAACAAGCTTGAATTATAAAAAAATTGTACAGTTGGTTGATAAATATGGTAAGATCAGTTTATCATCGAACTAAAACTTTTATGAGAATGGAATAGTTAGCAAATAGTTCAATATTGACTAAGGAGTAATGTACTTATGGATGCACATACAAGAAATATTTGTAAAAATGTTAGAAATATATTGTTTGAGAAGGTGAAGGTATGTGTGATGGCATGGCTCTGTGATTAGTGTTTTTCTTTGTTCTATATTGCAAAAATATTGCAATGAAGAAATAGATGAATACTTCCTGCCTTGGTAGTTACTAAAGACGGGGGGAAAAGCTGGAGACATTTTAATATGTGCAAATGCTAACAGAAAGATAACAGGATAGCATATAGATTGTTGCAAGAAATTAACATTTAAAAAAGTAAAAAATATTGTGTAAAAGAACTGAGAACGGCTCATAAGAGACAAAAACTGGAAACATGGTACTTAGGAAGTATGGGTGATAAAATAAGAGGAAATGAGATTAATAAGTGCTGAATGAATGTGGAGTAAATAAAAAGGAATGTCCAGTAGGAAAACAGTACATTGAGCTGGGTTGATACAGAGAGAAATGAATAAATGCAGCTGCAAAACAAATATACAAAGGAAGCCTAATTAGATTGAATAGATAATGGAATGAAGCTGTATTGGTTGGATGGAGCCAATGACATCTTAAAAAACAACAACCAGTGATGACTTGAAGAACAAAAGCAATAAATGAAGCAACTTTGGGTTTGTGGGAAACAAGGCTAGTTTTCAAAAACAGTACAGAAGGGTAAAATAAATGGTGTTTAATGTTAACTACTTTCAGTTATTTATATATTTCTTTTACTTATTTCAAAACTTTAATATCTGAGTTTCCTTTCTGTACTTTGTATAATATTGCTTATCCTATGAGAGGTATGGGTATTTGTGGTCATTTGTAAAAATTCTGTCCAAATTCAGCGGAGTATAACACCATTTTGGGGAAAACTTCAGCGCCATCTTATTCAGTTAATTACATTTAATTAAAATTAAAAGAAATTTGGAGTGGGCTTAGCATACCTATATTTATAACTAAAACACTAGACAGTAAGTCACATTAAATTTACTGTATATTTTCTTTTGAATATAAATGGATATTAGTGGAATATATGACTCTTAATTGTGTAGCAATACAAATTTGTCCATCAACAGCATAGAAGCTTTATAAAACAAATATAGAGAAATTGGTTTAGATGACATAATTTTTCAAAATCTATTTAATAAGATTCAGATGTATTATGCTGTGAAGTTATTAAAAAGTGGGAGGCCAACAATACCTCAGTGACCAATTAACTTTAAATATATGTACTTAAATTTCTGTAAACATCCATTAATTTTATATTCCTAGTATGTTCATTTTATTGGCCTTAGATTCCTTGGCACGTGGTTGGTCTTTCGCCATGATTTCCCAGGATGAAAAGAGAAAAAGATCTGTGACTTTGCCTCAAACTAATTGACTGGACTTCCTGAGGAGAAGGAGCAGTTAAAGGGCACCTGCATTCCATGTCTGACTCAAAGCCTGTGATGGTGTTTATGGAAAAGTTCAGATACAACAAAGACATCCAGCCAACAAAGTCTACAGCTATGTAATTTGAAGTTTTAAAAGGACCAACTTCAAAGTGTTGTATTTTGGAATACAAACCTTTGAGAACTTGTTTATTGAAGGTTAAAAAAAACTAGGATACCAAATAACAGTGTCAACAATCTATAAGATATATAAACACTCATACTGTTTTCCACTATAGTAACAAAGAGGAGGGGTTTCCTGAGAAGCCTCTTAATTTAAGACAATAAATAACATTAATCCAAGGAAATATATAAGCAACAAAAAGCTGTAATGCAGTGGAAGATCAACATATACAGATCAACATTTCATGATATCTCTCAAACTGGATTAAAGGTATCAGTGTATGGAACTAATTGTTAAGGACATATGTAAGGGAAAAAACATATTATCTTGAAAAGTTAGGGAAGTAAATCTGTTGTAGTTCCATATGCTTGAATGAAAACTATTGCCTTGTCCTTGTAACTACAAACCTCATTTTTATAGTGCTATGCCTCAACATGTATTAACACATTTTCTACTAATGAAATAAAGAATTAATGATTTATATTTTGTGGATTGTTAAAGGAAATACATGAGAGAGATTTTCAGTTTCTAAGTAGCATTATATTGGTCTACATTAATAATTTTCACAGCAGGTCTTCCGTAGTTTTACTGCAAACAATCAGAGTCTTTGTTTCTCAGATCCTCTTAGGTCTGACGTTCGATCAAAGTCCCTACATCAGCAACTAACTAAAGAAAAATGTGAAATGCATTACAAAACTACTGACAGATCATACAAGTAGTTCTAGATTGAGAGGAGCTCATTGCAGCTATTTCTTTACTAGTGATTAATTAGACTTAACTAACTCCAGACACCACAAATTCTAAATACTACATAAAAGTATCTCAACAAAGCATGTAAATGTTTCTAGAAAGTGGCCACTGTGGGCCTCATTTGAGCTATTTTTTTACTAATCAGATTACTCCACACTAATTCCGCACAGTATAAAGTTTGAATGCCATAGATTTATTCACTGTAAAATTGTGCTTCATTTTGGTTATAGAAATTTTGTTCCAACTTCATAATACTTTCTTATTACATCCAGTAAAGACAACCTTATGAGCAAAGTTGACTTAAAATATAGAATGATTAGATACTAAATCTTGAATTTTTGGTTATAAACTATTTAAAAGTAACAAATCCATATCAATCTACAAATAATATTATTTTCCAAGTCCAAGATAAAAATAAAGGACATTTCCAGCTCTAAAATAAAAAAAAACTAAAAGGAAGAAAGTGAAACGGAAAGTACATCACCACCAGCTTGCCTTTGTTTGGAAGAAAATATTTTTAGTAATGTAACTTTATGAACAGCATCTCAAGAAAATGAATGGAAAACAATTCTGAGGAATGTCATTCCTTTGAACCAGTAAGTAAAGCTTTAAGTAAGATTATGCAAACCTAAAAGCCCCATCCTGATTAAGAGAAAAAAATGCACCCTTTTCTCCAAGTAAGGTCTTGTGCATTTCTCCATAGCAGCTAGGCTATTGTTGGATAAAGAAGTTCTAACAAATCAGCATTCTTTTCCACATGACCACAGCTAATTGGCCCCCCTGCAGATGAAATGACCAATCAAATCAGCTTCATATGAAAACCAACCCCCCACATTATATACTGTGGAATGAGATCTGTAAGCCCATTCTGAACAAATATCCTTCCAAACTAGAAAAACGGGTTTTTTTTTTCTTCCTTCCTTTTGGACCACTGT